TAAGGGCCTTTTAGTTGTAGTTGCTTTATATGTTTTACTGTTAGTCTACCGTAAGTAGGATATTTTAAGATATATTCCAAGTTTTATTGACGGTTATGCTGTTAGCTTTCCTTATTTTTAATAAAAAATGCCAAACGAAACCTAACGCCAAGTCCACATATATCCGTTTCCTTTTCGCCAGTGCAATAAACCTCTGGATTGGTGAAGGATCAGTTGAAAACATGTAAATGGTTATAAAATGTCCAAAACGATGTTACAGTCTGTTGAAAAATAATTATCTCTAAAGGAAATTCTTCTCTTTTTGCCGCCAGCTAGTCTGAACCGTGATGGAAAGCTAACTTGATCACCAGGCAATTCATAGGCGTCATGGGTGGTATCGGGAATTAATTGTAAGCGTCGACGTTATCGAAAACATATTTAATTTGCTTTTCGCTCTGCTTTGTAAAGAACACCAGGTTACTGGCAGGAAGTTTTAGAAATGTTGGAATTTGATCGGATATATCTGGACTGGCGGTAGATCGGCAAAGGAATATGTGATGTAGACGCGGCCAATGTCTTTCCCTAGCCCGCTTCTTTCTGGTTCAGTACCAAGAACTCGACTCGATTCATCGGTCGAGAGAAGAAAATGGGACTGGGCCGAAAGGGTGAGGGTATTTAAGCATAGAATCAACTAGGTGTGAAGTATTTTGATAAGCAGCAGACTGGTGTATTTTTCTAAAAAAATGCTTGTGGGTGCGAAAATGCATTTTGGGGCAGGGCCCAAACGATGAGTGTATTACAATATAGATTCAATTTGGTATAACATAGTATACTTTCCAGATGAGTGGCAGAGTATGTTATTTTTCTTAAAAAAAATGCCCTATGTACGAGAATGGGCGGGACCCAAACGACTGGGAAATTACAACATACATTTAATCAGCTATAAAAAGTGTGTTAAATTCTAGGCTTATTAAAATGAAAATCTTGAAATTAGTTCGGAATTAAATAAATGATTTTAGGTGTACACAAACGTTTCATTCGTTTTGCAATCCAACTGAAACCTGGTTATGCAGGGGAACAGGGCTATAGAGAAGCAGACAGAAATATTCGAAGTATATTGAACCTGGTGTTACCATTAGTCAAACCCGGTTTACGCTATACACTTAAACCTGGGACGCCGCAACCTCGACGCAGCAATTTGGTTTACCTGGGTTTTTTGTAAAGTTGAGGCATACAGTCGAACCCCGCTACTTCGAAGTCCCAAGGGAGATGGAAAAAAGTTCGAAATAGCGGGATTTCGACATAACCGAGGAAGAGTAAAATTCGTAACAATGAATCATTTTTTAATAAAATACAGTACAGTATGAAGAAAGACACTGATTAAATAAAAATACAATGTCGAATGATCAGAATAGAGACAGCAGAGTTCATACATGAGTATTTCAGCCGGAAGAACAGTTCACTAACAGTGCGTCTTGTTTTGTAATTGAATAACACAGCTGGAATTTCTTAGCAGGGCGCTGCAGGTGCGTGAAGGATTGTTAAGTCATTAATTAAGCAACACGAGCTCAAATACAATGCAATACGTTTCCAGCTGTCCTCGTATGTACGTACTCTGTTTTTGACAAGTTCGAAATAACGTGGTTGTTTTTAGGTGTAGAGAAAGAACGATGAGTTCGAAATAGCGGGGAATTCGAAATAACCGAGTTTGAAATAGCTGATAGTAAATGACTGGAAACATAAGGGTAAATCCAAGGGAATTCGATCTTCCTTCGGAATAGTGGGGACTTCGAATTAACCGAGTTCGAAATAGCGTGGTTCGACTGTAGTTGAAAAGCATTTCCAAAGCTTGGTGAACCAGAGTCGGTTTTTCAAAGAAGGATTGGTTCCGGGCAGGATAAGCAATAACGTTTAATTTTATATTTGCATGGAGACACCTTTAGACTCGTTTTGCCAAAGATTTGCGTTTTAAAGAACGGTGCGTTTTCTTTTTTCAGAAGAAAGTAGTCTAGTATGAATGTTTTACTCCTTTTTTATGGTGGAATATGTTAAAGACAATGACGTCATGACTTAGCATCTCAGTAAAATCTGTTAGAATTGGCTTGTTATACAAATATTTCCTTGGGGAGTTTATGCTTGGCATCCAAACAAATTGTTTTGCAAAACCCAGGTAACCAATGAACGCCTTTGTTATTTCTTTCATCCAATGAAAAATCAAGACGTGACCTATTTACAAATAAATTTAAATCTGTCAAACCTCCTTATTGGAAGAGTTTAACATGATTAGAATTTCATGACGACATTGGTGTTGGTTTATGCTTCCTCAAATTAATGAAGTCACAGACCACCTCGAAAAAGAAACAAAATAACCTTACAATACGTGTACTTCTTTGGTAACATGTTAAGAATCTACAAAAAGGCGACCTAAAAGTTTTTGGCTCTTGTTTGTCAGTTTAAAAATCGGCAGTTTTGACCTGGCGTTTTTTCGAGACCGGCGTTCAATCGGCGTCCGGCGTTTAATCGAGGAATTACGGAATATATTCACTCTTTACACTGAATTCGCTTGATCCGTCCTCTTTGGTGATTTGAAAATGCTTCAGCTGACATGACGGAAGTACTGAAGTATCATTCTCAACTGCCAGATAATTGAGAGCCGAACGTATAGAAATTCATGCATCGTGGGGTATTTATATACCGATTATAAACAACTTGTCTTTGGATCCCTAAATTTTTCTCTTTCCACCATATATTTTTCCTCGAAAGTCAGCATCATATACTGGACAGTACATTTTTTTATTGGAATATGGATCGGAAAACCTTGAAGTTTTTTGAAATACTTCATATTGTTTAAGAGGTGTTTTAAATGCCTTGAAACACTGTGTCTCGTGTTTGATATATCATATCCTCAAATAATCCATAAACACAACAAAAAAAGATGGAAAGGGACCTGGACTGTCGGATATTGTTGCCTCTGTGTTACCGGTTTGGGAACAATCAAGCCCATGTCGGTTTAGCTCCTGCCGACAAAATTTGGAATTTTATGCCAGGGCATCATTTTTAATTAGGGAACAGGCAAGCCTGAGAGGGAGTTCTTTTGTTCGGGACTTTTCGAAACTTGCTGGCAGGCTTCGTGTGAATTAACCTACCGAAATGAACGCCTACTCAACCAAATTCTAATTTTGGAGGGTTTTGCCCAACTCAAACCTTATCTCTTGGCCTCTTTCCTTTTTTTCTTTGACTGGTTCGTTACACTTGTTAGCACATGTTAGGCCGAAGATCTTTCTCCTGGATCCGTTCATTATTGGTTTGATTGCTTGTTGAAAAAGCTTATTGCATCATACGTGTTTCAGTACGAAAGGGTTTCTAATTCTGCAATGTGATCTCGGTAAAGGCCTCATAAATATGGTATTGACTTTCAATACATTTTCCGGCATCGTTGACAGCTGCTACAGTCAACGTATACTCTGCAAGCAATCAAAAGCTATAATTTTTCGCAGAAATTTTTAAGTAATGAAATAACTGTACTCTGCAAACTGTTTTTCTTTCCGCATTGTCAAGCTAAACAATGAATTTTCGCATAAAACTTAAGACGAAACATCCCGTGCATTATCACTATAAGAGCCAAAACGTTTCAAAGTTGGCAGTAGCCGGCAGTCTTCATTTGCATGTTAGAATTTAAGAAATAGTGATGAATAATTATATACCTCTTATTTTTTCATTTGTTTTTGTGGAAAAATTAGAGAGAAGAAGAAGTGCCTTTATTTACCATACATTCATATGTACACACGTAACCTATTACATTACTACAAGGCAGGAGATCAATCAAGCTCTGTAAGAGCTTTTAGACAATCTCCGCTTTATTCTAAGTAGATGTAAGGAATTCACTTGTACCGTTAACTTTCGTGTTCAATTACCAACCTCATATCAAATCTTGAGTATATGTGGGCATCAAATTTATCCTTATTGTGGGTTTTTGTAAACATTATCAGTATTCAAGTGTTCGTATTGTTCATTTTGTCAACATTATCAATTATTCATTTGCGAGGTGCCCCTGAGAGGTATAAAAGACATAAAACAAATAGCGTTTCAGGGGATAAATTAAATACAAAAACTTTTGTTTACAAATCCGATATTGACTTCAGCAGAGAATTATTCAGACTGTTTTGAATGAAGACCCAGGGTCAATTTTGGCGCATTTGAATATATTTATATAGATATTTGCGCCTTATAAGTTTTTGAAATTAATAATTAATTAATTTAAAAATAGTACTTAATATTNCCGTTAACTTTCGTGTTCAATTACCAACCTCATATCAAATCTTGAGTATATGTGGGCATCAAATTTATCCTTATTGTGGGTTTTTGTAAACATTATCAGTATTCAAGTGTTCGTATTGTTCATTTTGTCAACATTATCAATTATTCATTTGCGAGGTGCCCCTGAGAGGTATAAAAGACATAAAACAAATAGCGTTTCAGGGGATAAATTAAATACAAAAACTTTTGTTTACAAATCCGATATTGACTTCAGCAGAGAATTATTCAGACTGTTTTGAATGAAGACCCAGGGTCAATTTTGGCGCATTTGAATATATTTATATAGATATTTGCGCCTTATAAGTTTTTGAAATTAATAATTAATTAATTTAAAAATAGTACTTAATATTTGATGGTTCTGAAAAGACAAAGCGGGTACTTTAAAATTCGTTCAGTTTAGTAAGCTCGCAAATTTTAACTAGATAAACTTAAATCAAAGAAAAACAGAATTAATTATTTATACGAACTGTAAAACTAATCATGTTAGATTTAGAACTCTTTCAGAGGCAGCCTGAAGTTGTCTGAAACTTGTTCTCTTTCTGTAAAATCACAGTATTAAGAAGCTGAAAGACAACTTAGTGAGACAGGAATCAACCAAGAGTCAAAAGAGACCACCAAAAAACCGAAATATTATGTCTAAAAATAAGCAAGACCCTGAAAACGAAGGCTTCAAAAGTGACTTTTCAACAACAGAAGATTCAAGAAACCAACATGAAGAAACACAGCAACATGAATATTCCGCTGAAGGATTTCAGTCTTTCGCCCAAGATACGACTTTACACGGTGCAAGATTTTTGTTCGTCAGCAACGTTTCCAGACGTGTAGTTTGGAATATAGCTATGGTCTCGTGTTTTTCCTTCTGTGCTTATCAAGTGTTTCCATCTGTGAGAGCTTTTTATAGCTACCCATTCCACACGACGGTAAAAAGAGAGACAGCCTCTCAGGATGGCCGAGAGCCCCCCTTTCCTGCCGTGACGCTGTGTAACCTTGCAAACACAAGAAGAATTCGACAGCTGTACAGCCCTGTCTTCCATGTAACCCCTAACGAAGAGCAGCTCAAACAGAGCATTGAGGATTTGTCCCATTTGTTGGCAAGGTCACCAAAAGTGTTAACGAAAGAATTTAAAGAAAGGAATCCCGAATTTTTTCACCGACCCAATTCCCCCGAAGAAGTCAAAGAGGAGATGGAACTGTACGCGCTCTTCAGTCATCAGATTGAAGAGATGCTGCTACCACGAGGCTCGACCTTTGAATCGTGCTCTTTAAATGGAGAGGCGTGTGGCCCGAAGAATTTTAGCAAGAAAGCGAGCATTTCTTATGGCCAGTGCTACACGTTTAATTCAGGAAAAAACGGTCATCCACTTCTAAATGTCACACTAGCAGGCAAGGACAGTGGCCTAAAGCTTCGACTAAATATAGAAAGAGAAAGTTACCTCAAAAATCCTGTAGCGTCAGTGGGGCTCACACTACTGATACACGATCAAAAAGCTTTTCCCTTTATGGAAGGGTATGGAGTTATTATTCAACCAGGAATGTCAACCGTCTGCGCCATTAAGAGGAGAAAGGTTAGCTTTATACTTGGAATTATTCGTTGATATTCGACCAAGTCTCATTTTGTTACATGTTTATTATTCCTCCTATTTCATTTCTGGGCTCGTTTCCCTCTGTTTCCTTTTATTTCTAGTACTCGCCCTTTTCTGGAGCTCTGCGAGGTTCTGCGAGAGACACGTATTTTTAGTATTATCTTTAGGTTTTCACGATTTTTAGTTCAAAGTAAGTGTTCTTAACAAATACGAAACAACAGCAGCTGTATGTCAAACAAACTCCTTCTCCCCAGGGTTTCGTCTTTGCCATAAATGTCTCAAGAACAAGGATTTCTTAAAAATTGTTAAATTTGCGATTAATATTCGCGCGCCGTGGAAAATTACAGATTAAATGGTTTGTGTCCATGCTGTAGTATAACGCCAATTTTCATACTTTTACGGCTTTTTCAGTTTTCCAGATTTAACTGTATATAATTGTTAACTTACGTTCGTGTTATCCTTCCGTACAAAGCTTTGAAATTTCGATTTTTTCACGGCGCTGTTGGAATATTAAATAATTTTAAAACTTTTATTATTGCTTCTGTTGTTCTTAGTATTAATAACAAAAACTTCAGTTGCTTTTTGAAAACATAGCAACCGGTTTGATTAATTTTTAAGAATTAGAGACCTTCGGCAAATAGTGGTACTTGATTGGTCTTCAAATCAATCAATCAATCAATCATTTAATTTGTGTCATAGAGTAGGCTAGGGTTCCCCCGGAGCCTCACCTATAAAAGGCCTAACAAGTTAATACTAATAATTTAAAAATTTAAAAAAGAAATGTAAGAAGTACTCAGGTAACACCCTCCCGCAACCCACATATTGAAACTGTAGCTCTGCCTTTTGCTGTATTTGAGCGATATTTGTTTATTTTGTACAGCCAGCAAGACCGCGTTAATTGCTTGCTGGCATTAATCCCTCGCATTTCAATAGTCTGTACGTAAACCCTGAGAAGCACAGAAAAACAACCTAGAGCTCTTTTAGTACCATGGTTTTTATGGTGAAACTAAGGGCTTTTCTATTTTTGTAGATAAGTAACTTAAAGTGGCCATATGCAACAAACTGCACAGATCAAACCAATGGCGATACTGACCCCTTTTATAGCTATACTAAACAAGCTTGTCTGAGAAAATGTCGCGACGATTACACTACCAAGAAATGTGGCTGCACGCCTCCTGAAGTTAACGGTAATTTATTTAAGTATACTATGGTTCTTTATACCTTGATTTTGTTTTTTGATTTCCCATTTCGGACCATGTGACGTTACCCCAAAGAACTGTCTCTTTCGCACGTCATCCTGTCCACGTGTATAATATATAATTATATATATATATATATGATTTATATATAGTTTATGAAAAAAGAAAACAAAAGGTAAATTCCCTTGAAAACACTTGATTCGTACACAAACCGAAAAGGTCCATTGATTCCTGAAAACAAACATATCGTAAGTTAGCTTTTGCTAATAGACGATTTTCGCATCCGGGAATATACGTTGATCTTTGTTTGAAATGGATCTCTTCATTTTCCTAGTCAAACTAAGCTTTAAACGTTCGGTTGGTTATATAAACTGATATAAAGGAATGTTAAGTCTCTAACCTTTTGTCGCGCACATAAACTTTGATGCGCAAGTTATACAAGTATAGTAAGTGGTAAAAAATCTCTCGACTGTTGTAACAAATTTGCTATACGTTTTGATAGCGCTGAAGAGCTGGAACATAGATCTCAACTAGATATACGTCAGCTTTTCTTTCAATCTCTCAGTTTTTTTGTTGTACAGCTAGTGGCCCGATTTGTGCAGTGAATGACTCGATGCTGTGTCTTTTTCCATTCCAAGGTTAGTAAATCAAATGATTTTTACATATTCGATGTGAGAGTTGAAAATAAAATTGATCTACGGATAGAAAGGCAAAAATGAGAAACGTGTTGGGACTGGCAGGCACATATAGGATCATTAGGGAGAGAATCGTTCGTGTTCACTGGATAATGCATTTATATTTTTATTTCAAATCAATTTATCTTGTCACGGGCAGTATCGTGATTTTGAAGCTGATGGATTGTACCTCCCCTTGTAGGTTCCATTTGTTGTATATAGGGCAGTTGGGTTCGGGTTAACTTCGTGTCACTCTTTTTTTGTTATGGTACTTTGGCTATCTTCCAAAGTATTAAAGGGATAACGAAAGGATAGCGACAAGGGTATACTACAAGCTACAATAGCCGGTCTTTATTTAAGTTGTCTGTTGGGCATTTTCCTTCACCGTCTTTTAATTGTGCTATTGGCAGTGCTCTGGGCGTTTTTGTCCCTCTTTACAGCAGTTAGAGGCATGAAGATCGCGGTCTTCTATACCTGTTCTCTTACGGTTTCCTGAAGGTAATAATGTTAACTTTCTCAGAGGCCTTGAAACAGATGGTAAGACACCGTTGTCTTTTCAGGCAAGCGTAATACCAACTGACTGAGTATGCGATTCCCGTACCAAGGAATAAGCAGGATGATGATTATTGCTGCAACAACGCGTACGCTTCACCAGTAGAATAAAATTAAAACTAAATCTCTCATATAGGTCTAAACTTAGCTCACATTATCGATTCGTGGGTGCAAAATTAATCACTTGGGGAATTATGCTCCGCAATGATAGGAAGAGCCGAAATCGGAGGTTCAAAAAGCAGCCCCTGCATGTTACGAAAAATTCTAACCTGACGGTGGTTTTGGGCTCCGATCCACCGTTTCTAAGGTGGCAGATGAGCCCAGTACTTGAAACTCGCTTCCTTCTTTCTTCTTTCTTCTCAAAGATAAATGAAAACGATTAATAGACACTGTTAGGTTTGAGAAATAAAATGAAAAGGAGCGATGGTTACTAGAGCGTGAAAGTCACGGCTTCTGAGGCTATACAAGATAACCCTGTTTATGAATCAAATGACCAGAATATTTCCATCTTATATATTTTTTGTGGAAGGACGTTTTGATCATTTTGCTATATATTCTGTAGAGGCGTTTGGCAAGTCTAAAGATAAAAAGGTGTGCGAAAAGAACTGCCCTGAAGCATGTAAACAAGTTGAGTACGAGGTGTCTTTGTCATATGGTGGACTACAGAGAGAAGCTCTGATTGAGCATCTGATGGAATTCCTTAATGAAGCCGACAGCTCATCAGTTGGTCGAGGTATTTACGCGCCTTTGTTGAACATGACCAACCATGAGAGGGAAGAATTTATAAAGTAAGTACTTCTTATCGAAATACAGTCTAATTGTTTTGACAACCTCAGACAATTCATGCGTTTCACTACCCGACACAATTAGTTAGCCTTTCCACTATCCATGTATTTCAAGACCATCTGCCTTATTCTCCGACGTACCTTTCTCCTTATTGGTTTAATATTTTAGTCATTTCTTTATTTCATTGCTTCCAGCCTTAAATACCAAAGGCATGGTTAAAGAATAATAAAATTTATTTATCCGCAGCGATAACATTATTTCATTGGATTTATACTTTGACGATCTTGCTTACGATGTCATTGAACAGATGCCAATTTACCAACCATGGACGTTAGTTGGTTAGTAAAGCTGTCATTAAAATTACGAATATACGGTATGCCAATGAAAAGTTTAATACCGTATCAATATGGGTAAGGTTGAGGAATACTGCAGTTACTACAATATAATTCATATACTGGAGCTTTTCACGAACTTTGTGAGAATTTTTATACTCATCCTGACATTGTCCATTTTAGATATAATATACTAAGCTAAAATGTTGCTCATATGAAACAGTTAAAAAGACGACAAAGTTGCGACGTTCAACTAACTCCTTATTATCAAGTCAGAAAATAAGTGCATGTTGCAAAGTATAAATACCAAAGGAGCAATGCTTAATTAAAAAACCATTATGAATCGTCAAAAACAGAATTTTGAAAGATAAGAGGACAGACACAAAAAACTGGTGTCAATTTGTTTTTTACAGTAACAAAAGGTGGAAAAAGTCAAATTTCCGGTAAAAATGAAGAAAACACAACAAAATTTGTGATTCTTTAAACTAGCGAAATGTTATTGTCAGTAACGTGTCTCGCCCTGGCGATTGGCTACTGAAGACAGGTAAGTGATTGAGTTTCATTGGCTAAAAATTTGACAGGTTCAGTCACGCCACTGCCCTAAATAAAATAGGAATTTACTATTTTACAAACTTCAGCACAAGAATGAGATTAGTGACGTTTATTGTCTCGAAAAATAGAGGCATTTTGGGGTAGTGTAATGTCGTAAACTAACCCAAGGTTAAAAATTACTCCAAGGAAAGATTCTGGAGCCGTTAAAATAACCGAACAAGTCGAAACATTGTACGGTTGAGCTGTCTATAGAGCAACTAGGTAAGCAGTTTTGAATAGTTGCTAACCCAAAAGCACGATCAGAAATCGTGTAGCTGTTGCTTACCTTAGTTCAAGTCTTTTTTTTTTTTCGTAGTGAACGCCACTCAGCTATAAAAAGTGCGTACAATCAAACCAAAAGGTGGTTTTCACACGCAATTCAACTTACCCTGTACTTACAAAGTTTCTCAAAGTTTGAACAGAAAGTTTTTTTTTATTATTTTCGGAGAGAAGGATCAGAAAAACACTCAATAGTTGTCAAAAGAAAAGTACTGCAATTAATGTCTTTATTTTGAATATTTTCTCAGTATTTTTTACTTTAAAACTATGTATGAATATCAAAAGCCTATCTGAATCGCAGTTTTGAAGCTGTACAATTTCCAGCAGGTCGTCTCCACTTTTTGGAAACTAGGCGTTTTTGTCTAGTTCCCTCTGCTTGTCGGATGAGCCTTTCGATTCGTATGGTATCCAAACCGGATGCAAGTCGTGCATCAGAGCTATCTGACGATTTTTCCTATTAGACAGAAAGTAAAGCTTCTACGAAACTAAACTAAACAAAAACATCGAAGTTTGGCATTCGTTCTGCAAATGACTGCTTCTTGCATTAATTAAAAAAATATGTGTCTGTCCTCTTATTGATCATAAAAATCAGCCAATCAACACGCAAAAAATAATTCCGTTATTGTAAAATCTTTCTTTAGCACTTGAGAAGAATGCGTCGTCCATTTTGTTTCAAAATTGTATGGAATTGGCCAACATTGTTTTACCTCTTCTTCTGTTTAATGTGTTGGTATACACACTTTAAATTCCAGGCCCAGAGTAGGTTCTATTGTGGCTTCTTAGAGCATGTAACCTAAAGGTCAGTAAAAAAAAGGAAGATGAATTTGGAAGATTTTCGTAGCTCACCAATATTCTATTTGTCACTACGCGCCGAATGTTAAGAGGTCCTAGTTGAAGCTATGTAAATTGTGCTTTTCTTTCTATTTTTCTTGCACCGTGTTAAAAAATTTAAAAATAAACAGACAACAACAACAACAACAACAAAAAACAATAGACTGACCTTTCTATTGGTTACGTTTTCTACGTTGTAACTGCCACCAAGACATGGGATGTAGAAACAACTTTTGAACATCTTGGTGGTTTCCAGCATCTGTCGTGGGCTTGTAATTCGGGTAAACTAACAGAAACGTAGTTCAACTGGTGATATGACTTATTTCCAGTTTCGTATCATGTGATCTTTTCATTTTGTAAGACCACGGTTACCAAAACAACAAATCAGTGATAATAAAGAAATTATTCGGTTAGACTCCATTTAGTCATTGGTTGTACAGATTCCGATCAACAACCACGACCTTTTCCTAGATATACTGCCAATAAGTGCTAATCATACTATTATTATATTTATTTCTACAAGGAAATTTGGGTGGTACGTTTGGTCTTTTCTTGGGAATGAGCTGCCTGACTGTACTTGAATTTGNAACAACCACGACCTTTTCCTAGATATACTGCCAATAAGTGCTAATCATACTATTATTATATTTATTTCTACAAGGAAATTTGGGTGGTACGTTTGGTCTTTTCTTGGGAATGAGCTGCCTGACTGTACTTGAATTTGCACGTCAATTAATCCTAAAAAATATTCATGACATGACCTAAAAAAAAATTCATACATTCATACGAAAATTCCCCTCCCCCCATAACTATTCTAATGGTCCGTCCCTTAGGTCAGTTCTCTACACGTTCGAAAGTAATAACTTAGTGCGTGCACCCATACACAAAATGCTCCTGTAGAGTTATGAAGAAGATATCAAATTAATTTGATGAGAGATTTCTCACCATAACATTTGTTGGCGATTTTTCCTGGAATAGGGCCGATCTGCATTAAAACGCTGTTTTTAAATTAGACAAATTTTCTGTCATCACGAGGCTTAACAAATGCGAATGGTTTGTCGTGATTTTACAAATTTTGTTTGAGACGGGACAATCATCAAGGCGCCACAGACACAATTTACCCCGGGTAAGAACTGGAAAAAATCGACTAAATAAACGATATGTGTTTTTCTTGTCAATCATTTTTTTGTAAAGCCATCATTCTTTCCATTAAGTAAGGACGGATGGGAGGGCCTGCTTTCGAGTAATAAAAGTAAATGTTTAAATACCATTCCAAATTTGTCTGCCAGTGCAGATCGGCCCAAAGTATTACAAAATAATGTGGCCTGATTTTTCTAAGTTTCAATCCATATTTATCCTTGCCATTCGTAGCAATAG